TGGTGAATTTGAACCACTGACCCTGTGGTTAGCAGTCCAGTGCTTATCCTACAGTGCCACACTACAAGACAATTTATAATTAAGACTTTAACATAATGTCGATATGGCTCAAAGATACAAAAGAATAAAAAAGCAAATAGTGAGTTACAACGTATTCTATATGCTAAAAAATTTTATCTTAGAATTTCACAGACAAGGGTAGTATAATTTCCTTGTTGTTGACTACATACATTATCTAATCTAGTCTAAAAATATTCTAAATTTTCTCTTATACAAGTGAAATCATTCTTTCTTGTTCTTGAACATATTAAAATCGGAATTTTATATAAACATGAAGATTTATCATTAACCAGTAACAGTTAAGAATTTTATAGGAATTATTTCATGTAATCCTCATAAAAATCTTGAGGAGAAACTATTATTATCCTCTTTTTAAACTGAGTTCCAGTTGCTCAAGTTCACTAAATTAATATATGGTGGAGAGATGGAACGCAAACCCAGGAAATATGTCATTGGTTTCCTATAAAGATGATAAGATAATTCATTAACCCCTTTCAGCTCTAAAATTCTGATGATGTGAAGTACACAATTAGATCAACGTGAAGAAAATCATTCAATCTAGACCATATTCAATAATGTTTAAGCTCAATGATTTTTTTTCAGTTTTCCATTTAGGAACCCCAATGTAAACACTTAAATATTTTCATTATATGTACTATCATATTTTAATGAATTGACTTAAGAATTTCCTTATAAAATATCTTTATCTCTGTTTAATTTTATAGGTGTCACTTACCCAGGGGTCACATGAATTCAATGCATTTTTAAATCTGTTCATGCAGCCACTCTGTAATGACTGCACTCCAATTATTTCACTACTAGCAGACCACAGGAAGAGTGCAATTGCTGTTAGCATGCTTACTTCATCAGGCATAGGCACAGAATCTTCTGAAAATGAAAAATGAAAGCAATGTACTGTTTCTAAAACGTTTTGCAATTCCAAACTTGAACAGCAACCCTCCTGCCTGCCCCACCCCCAATTATAGCAGTGTGTGCTTCAATCCACAACAGTCCACAATTTTATGAATAGAAGTCATGTGTTGAGAAAATTGGGAGATCTTTATTAGAAGTTCCTCTCCTTTAAGTCTCTTCTCCTTATTTTTCTAGATGACATAACATTAATTTAAAAACCTTTTCTCAGGCACAAATTCCAACACAAGACGTCTAATATGGAAAACCAAGTAAAATATAAAAAATAACAAGGAAGTAAGAAATTTTTCTTAGGTGCCACTGAGTCAGTTCCAACTCAGAACAAAACCCTGCCTGGTCCTGCACCATCCTCATAATTGTTATGTTTGAGCCCAGTGATGCAGCCACTGTGCCAATCCATCTCATTGGGTTATTCCTCTTCTTCCCTGACCCTCCATGTTACCAAGCATGGTATCTTTCTTCAGGGACTGGTTCCTCTTGACAACATGTCCAAAGTACGAGAGATGGTGTCTTGCTATCCATGCTAAGGACCACTGTGGCTGTATAGACTGTTCTTCTTTCTAGTATTTCATGGTAGTTCTAATTTAACTTGTTCAGAGTATAGATTAATCAAATTTTCAAACACTTGACTTCCAACAAAGTTGAATGGCTGTAAGTCAGTCTCATTAATTTAGAAATCCAGACTATATTTTGTTAGGGATGTCATCTGCCAATTAGTAAATTAGAGAGCCTATAATTTCCATCAAACCAGAAAAAGATAACCTATAGCATTTCCTAAAGGAAATTCTGACAGTATTCTGACAACCTTAAGAAATTTCTTGCATTTGTAATCAGTTATTTCAGAATACACATAATGTTAACCTAATGGAAATAAAGTATGGAATTAGTTAACTTTAAAAAACACATGATCCTTGACTGCCTTATGAATATTAGTTTCCCTTGCCTACTATTGTAAAATAGACACTTGAGTGGCATAGAAAGGAATGTTGGGAAACATGATAAGAGAAAACTTGCAAGCCCGCCTTCGGCCTATAACTGATTGGAATACCTAAAAGGGGTTCTACAACTTGCCCAGTGACATAGGCCTCGTGCAAAGCCTTTGCAGAGTATAGGACCTTAG